TAAGTTAGTAACCTGGTTGTTAAGTGAATCTGGCTTCTCCATGGACTTTGCTTGTCAGAAGGTCGCAAAAGATGATTCCATGACCCCCAACAGCAACCGTCATAAATATGAACCAGTTGCCAAGTGTCTGAATTTTGAGAAGATGCTGCAAAGATTGTAACTGGGAAAAATGGTCATAAGTCACTTTGTTCAATGCCATTGTAACTTTGAACGGTCAGTAAATGAACTGTTATAAGTCAAGGACTACTTGTAGTTCTTATGCAGGCACCCAGAGCAGTGATGGGATTCAAATAAGTGAACAACTGGTTCTCTGTGTGGATGCCACTTCCAGAAGTCCATTCTGGGCCTGGGCAACAAAAAATTAGCCATCGGTTCTGCCGAAGTAGTGCGAACTGGCTGAATCCCAGCACTGACCCAGAGGCTTCTAAGATGCTGCACCCTTTCTCTGTGAATAATGGTTCCCTGCCTTTTCGCATTCTTGACTTCCTTTTGTCCTCTACGTCCTCTTCTAATTAATGGTGGCTGCATACCATTTGCACATTGTTTTCTCTGACTTCCACACCTCATTTCCCTTACTTTGTGCCTTCCCATTCCATCTACTTATTTTATTTTCATCTACTAAGTACACTCCGTCTTTTTGGAGCCAAAGATCATTTAGCTGTTCAGGAGCTATGTGCCAAAAAAATAAGGGCCAGAGCAGTGAAGAAAGCAGGGCTGATTCAAAAACGAAAGGCAATAAATGTGAGCTCGTGGCAATGCTCTCCAGTGAACACTCTGCGTGGATTTGTAAGTTAGCACTTGCTCAAACCTAAGGCTTTGGAGGAGCAAGTGGTCTCAGGGCTACAAGTTGTGAGCCTCTAATTCATGTGCAAAGTAATAACTACTGACCGGAACTGAAATGGGAAGATAGTTCACCTTTCCATAGCACCTACGGCAGTGTTCCTCAACTTTGATCACTAGAAGACATGTGGACTTCAACTCCCAGAATTCCCTAGCCAACATCTTGGCTGGGGGAACTCTGGCTGTTGAAGTCCACTCATCTTAAAAGTGGCCAAGATTGAGAAACATGGACCTATTGTATGCTGATCTTGAAAGGGAAGATCATTAGGCCACTTACATGCAACCCAAAGGGAGACATGAAGCTTCTTCTGCAGAATGGCTTGGCTTGATAAATTCTCAACACAAGCTGCACAAATCTACCTCTGCTTCTCCTTTTAAATTTTCTCAAAAGCAGAATGACCTAAATTGGTATCCCTGAACTTACTCCCCCACTCAGCTTTCTATGATAGTGGTTGCTATGGAGAAAAATGACCAATGTGCCTTGGGAGGAGGCAACCAGAGGAGAAATTATGATTTCAAAGAGGCTGACCACAACAGAAATGATCAAGCACACTTAAAATCTTTGCTTTAAATGCCTAAGATCTTTTTTAGGGACATTAATTGGAGTCCTCTGAGCTGATCTGCTGCTTCATTGATTAGTTTAGGTCCTCCTGTTTCGATAGAAATTGTTAATGGATGCATTTTGGCTCTCTTAGGAAATACAAACTAGTCTTATGATCTGCTAAGTGGTCTTTGCTGATAGAAACCAGCAAAATTCCACTTTTACACAAGTAAATTCTACATGTTTTTTAGTCCAGCAAAAGAAGCATTTATTTGTGTCTGATGATTCACTGTGGTTTCTATAATGTGCCCTCACCCAACAGGGCACAGGTGACATGGTAGCCATCCGCTATAGTAGATGGAGTTTGGTGGAGCAGTTGTCTCCAAGTGGTCCTCTTCACTTAATAAGGCAACAAGCTCCAGCAAAATCAGGATTCTGTTTTTCTGTATCTTTCCCAGGATGGCCTTTGAGCTCTTTTAGTACATACACATACACCGTGATTTGGCCTAGTAGAGGATCCAAACCTGACAGGGTTACTGTCTCTCTCAGAGTTTGATGGCGTCAATTGTGACACTCTTGACAACAATTGTTGTTTTTCTCTGTCATAGAACATTGAGGGCAGACTCAGAGCTTAGATCAGAGGTCTTCAAACTTGGCCCTTTTATGACTTGTGGACTTCAACTCCCAGAATTTCTCAGCCAATCCTGGCTAGCTGAGGAATTCTGGGAGTTGAAGTCCACAAGTCATAAAAGGGCCAGGCTTGAAGACCCCTGGCTTAGATCAAAGTACCACTGGTAAACTGTTGTGATGTCAAAATTATAAGACACCACAGGCAAACCTTGAAAGACAAAATTGGCTCCAGTTCCTACAGCCTGATGTAATATAACATTTGTTCATTTTTCAAATACTGACTCCAGTATTTTCGGTTGATGTAGATCAGGGGTGTCAAACTGCCGGCCCGTGGGCCAGACGTGTCACCAGGAAACAGTGCCCCCCCCATTGCTGGCAATGGAGAAAAAGCTCCGATACGTCGTGCAACATCACGTGACATCGCGGGTTTGACATGTCTGATGTAGATGATTCATAGGGAGTAATAGAGATAAAAGCTGAAAAAGAGTTGCTCTGCTGAGTGGGATGGGGGGGGCATATAAATTTGATAAATAAATAAAAGGAGGGGAACCAAAGGCAGAAAGAGGAAGTGATCAGGAGAATGGGGGTGTGGTGACAGAAGGATGGGAGGAGAGTTGCAGGGAAAGGGGAGAAACGTGAGCTGTTTAAATGTGCTAAGATCACAGCTCTTATAGGTAGTCCTTGAGTTATGATGACAATTGAGGCCAAAATCTCTGTTGGTAAGCAAAACATTTTTAAAGTGAATTTTGCCCCATTTTACGACCTTTTTGCCACAGCCGCTAAGTGAATCACTGCAGTTAAGTTAGTAACATGTTAAGTGAACTTGGCTTCCCCATTGACTTTGCTCCTCAGAGGTTCACAAAAAGTGATCACATGGCCCCGAGACGCTGCAACTGTCATGGGTCAGTTCAGCATCTGAATTTTGATCACATGATCGTGGGGATGCTGGAACTATCGTAAGTGTGAAAAAAGGTCATTGTAACTTTGAATGGTCATTAAATGAACTGTTATAAGTCAAGGGCTGCCTATAGTTTGGTCCTTCCTCCAGTTTTTCACAGGGGTAATTGGAGTAGGGGTAGCGGAAATTGAATTCCTACATATCTGGAAGTCTATGGATATTCTCAGTCATCTAGGTCATAGTTACCTCAAAGATGCTTTTTCACGAGGCAACTGGACTTCCTTGTTTTTTCTTTGAAGACATTTCGCATCTCATCCAAGAAGCTTCTTCAGCTCTGATTGGATGGTGGGGAATGGAAGGATTTATACTTCTTGCAGACAGCTGGTCATTTGCATTTCCCCCACCATCTACTCAGAGCTGAACAAGCTTCTTGGATGAGAAGCGAAACGTCTTCAAAAAAAATAAGAAAGTCCAGTTGCCTCATGAAAAAACATCCTTGGGATACATATCTGGAGGAAATCATAGTAGGAAAGCTATGAAATTTCTTGTCTTTTCTTTTTAATATAATGAGCTACTTTCTGTCATTCCTGCTAACAGCTTCTTGTTTAGACCCAATTGATGCAGTTGGCTTGCCTTTCATCAGCTGCTCCTTCTTCCTGTTGCTAATGCATTGAGTTTGTCCATTTCCATGATGTAAGTAATGAGTGTGTCTACAGCCAGGAGCCGTGAGATGGTTGTGTAATCCTTGAGCTTAGCAGATTCACTCTGTGTGAGCCACTCCTGCCACATGGAAATATGGTGGTACAGCTGCTGCATAGGCTACAGCGGGATGCAAAAGGCGTTTGGTCCCAGCATACAAGGGAGGGAGCAATCCAGGTGCAGTTTCTCTGAATAGAAACTAGAACAGGGGTCTTCAAAATTGGCCTTTTTATGACTTGTAGACTTCAACTCCCAGAATTCCTCAGCCAGCGTGCCTGGCTGAGGAATTCTGGGAGTTGAAGTCCACAAGTCAGAAAAGGGCCAAGTTTGAAGACTCCTGAACCAGAACATCACTCTGCAGCAAGAACAAAAATTGTGGTTCTATTCATCAAGTTTCTCCAGCCATAAGTTAGTTTAGGGCAGAGGGAATCTAAGCTTCTTTGACAACTGCCTAAAATGAGAAATGGTTGTTTTCTGACCACACTTTAACATTTATTTAGATGAAATCTAAGAATTTCAGCAATGGAAGTAATTTCCCATTTAGAATCAATATAGCATCATCTGCATTTGTTTCTACAAGGAGATAAATCTCTTCATTGATAATAGGGAAACTCGTAGGTAGTTTTTGACATAAGTGGCTGAATATTATACAGGTAGTCCTCAACGTATGACTACAATTGTGCCCAACATTTCTGTTGCTAAGTGAGACATTTGTTAAGTGAATTTTGCCCTATTTTATGACCTTGCTTGCCACAGTTGTTGAGTGAATCAGGTGTTAAATTAGTAACACTGTTAAGTGAATCTGGCTTCCCCATTGACTTTGCTTGTCAGAAGGTCGCAAAAGATGATCACATGACCCTGGGACACAGCAACCATCATAAATATGAGTCAGTTGCCAAGTGACTGAATTTTGATCACATGCCCATGGGGATGCTGCAAGGGTCATAAGCGTGAAAAAATGGCCATAACTCATTTTTTTCAGCGCTGTTATAACTTCAAATGGTGACTAAATGAAATGTAAGTAAAGGACTACCTGTATGGGTCCAGAAATTGACTTTTATGGATAAGATCTGAACTGGGAATTTTCATTTCTAGCTAAAACTGTATAAGAACCATCCAAACATCTGGAAGGCAGCAAGTTGTGAGAGAGTTTAAGTGTATGCAATTTCTTATGCTAATCATTTGTTTTACTGCCCAGCTTGCATTTTCCTAAATATTTATAGTTTTTTTAAAGGATGCAGCAATTTTGTCAGATAATTTCAGTTCCTAGGCAGATTAAAAATCAGAATGATGATAACTTAAGTAAGCAATTTGTTTCATCCACATGCATACATCCCTTAGTAGCATACAGGACAGCAAATTGTTGCTTAAAGAAATTCAACACAAGAATCATTTTATTAAGGGTGGGGGAAAGTGGATACTTTATTTATACAAAATGCAGTCATTTAAAACTTAGCATATACATACAAGAAAAGACACATTGTTCTAAAATCCTATCTCTGCATATCACCTTTCTGCATACAACTCTACCTTGACTATTTTGATGGGAAGGTCAAGAATATTTCATTTCAGCATAGTTCAATTCATTTAATCAGTTGTTACATTCCTTCAGCATTATAAGAGCTATTTTGCTATAATTATTAAGCCATTGAACTAGCATTGGAGAATCCTGGGCCTTTCCTCTGTCTGGAAACTCAGTTGGGTGACTTTGGGCCAGTCATTCTCCATCAATCCAACCTATCTCAGAGTTGAGCACAAAAATAATAGGAAGGGGAGTTATGAATGCTTCTTCAGCTCCTGAGCTTGGTATATAAATTGAGCAAATAAAGGAATAAAAAAAGAATACATTGCTTTGTAGGACACAGTGTCACAAGCCAGCATAGACCAACCGTGTGCGTTTTAAGGTTCGTTAAAAGGAAAAGATCAAGCTGTCTGAGAGTAGTTTACAGGAGTGAACACAGGAGGTTCTCAAAACAGTCAAGGAAATGAACGGAAGAGTGCAATTGCAGCTCAGTATGTTTTTTAGGTGAGCCTCATTTGCATAAGAATGGGTAGAGCTTGAAGTGTTGACTGTACCTTGTGGGCACCTCTGCTTTTTAGCAAGAAAGGTAGCAAACTTTTCATGGGCTGAAAGGAATGGAGAAGAGAGCCATAAAGGATGAGCAAAAAACTCAAAAGTGTGCTGGGTTGCCTCACACAGAAATCTTTTCAAAAAAGTGTTTGGATGGACGGACAGACAGACAGACAGACAGACAGACAGATTCCCACCTTGAGGTGACAGGAAATTCTGCCCTTGATATTTTGGAAATTGTGCCATTAAATTCTGGAAGTAGAATCCAAAGATATGGCATGATCACTGCTGTCTTTGTAAAAGAACTCAGAACACCAAATTAATTCCGTTCTGCATCTGGCAGGAATTGTGCTACACACATAAGAAAAACAAACAAAGGCTTTAATTGTCGCTTGTTTAAGGGTTTTTAAAACCATGTTTAATTAGGCACTGGCTCTTGTCTCATCAACTGGCTTCAGAGGGCAGTATAACCTGAAAGATGGGTAAAAAACCACAATATTTAAGTGTTCAGAAGCAGTTACTGTAATTGGTAATTTCCACTGAGCATTTGACTGTATAGCAGATCCAGGTCTCTACAAGCTATAGTCAAAGAAGTCATGATGGCATCCACAATGGTGCAGTCAAAGCTCTGCTTGCTTTTTATGAACATCAAATGTGAGATGCATATTAAAAATGGGCAGAGTTTCAGTCAGTCTGTTGTGGACATAATCTTCCCCCCCTTTTTAACTATCCCATGTAAACATCCTTGTAGCAGATGGAAGAACTTATCTTTATGCAAACTTGCAGCTGAATCCTTACTTAGAAAATTCTGATTGAAAAATTACCTATTCAGCATGAAGAAATAAATAAAACAATTGTGGTTCCCTTTTTTTAAACTACAGTAAGGGACATAGTGCAGCTAGATGGCAGTAAACTAGCATTGACTGGTCTCAAAAATCCAAGTAGGATTGAACCTGCTTATCCCATAAGTGGGAGACCGCCCCCAAACATCCCAAGACTGTAGACTAAACTGGACATTAACCCACCCACCCCGCAATAACTTCAGAAAAGACCACAGTTGCAAATTTGTTCTTCACAATTGCTTCTAGTAGAAAAGAAAGTATGCTATCTGGAGTTAAACTTTATTAACAGGCCTTACCTTACCATCTCCTCTATTTCTTTTTGATCTATCACAGACTCAGGGAGACAGTATTGGACTGGCAGAAAGATTGGGCTGAGCATTCTGATGCTCTCCAGCTATATTGTATGGCAACTCTAGTCACCTCTGAAAACAAGCTATTTTGGGATTACTAGCACCAATCTTGCTAATCTCTATTTGAACAGCCAAATTGATGGGAACTGTTTTCACACTATTAAAATGGATATGGAGTGGGTGTTCTATTGCTGGAGATCTTCAAAAAAAAAAAAAAAAAGATTGGACTTTGTTCAGGATGGTATAAGGTCTCCTGTCTTGGCCAGAGGGTTGGACTACAAGACCTCTAAAGGTCCCTTCCATTTATGATTCTATGTTTTTAACCTAGTGACAGATGGGCTATGACTCATTCCCTTCTTTGGCAGTTTTCAAACACAGAAACCACTTTGTGGTCATGGGGCATAGAAGGCCACCTTGCCTGCCTTTGGTCATGACCTGTGGTTTTCAAACATTGCATGCTTCAAGCACTGAGCCAACGTCTGGATCCATGTCTTTCTATGTTCACTGTGACTATCAAGAACATGCAGCACAAGCCAGAACTTCTTTGACCAGCCTAATTACTCTGGTTGCCTTTTAGGTTTGCTTCTCTCCATCTTTTTTTTAACTTCTTCAAACAGCTCTTTCTCCCCTTTAGAATCATAAAATCTTATTTGGAAGGTTCTATTAGGTTAATGAGCCCAACTCCTTGTTCAATGCAAGAATCTAAATTAAAGTATCCATGGCCTTATGGCTTTTCAGGCTCTGCTCAAATGCTTCCAAAGAGAGGTGATTGGTCCTTCTATCAAATTGCTAAAGAAATCACATTTTGTTGCATGCAGCCTCTGATACGACTTGACAGGACGTGAACGGAGTTGATGACCATGCCTGTTTTCCTGGCCACCAAAAGAGGAGACAGATTGTGCCTGGTGATTGGCCTGCACTGTTTCCTTGAACAGAGTGGACTTCAACCTGTTTTTCCAAGGCATTTTGCCCTTGGCTAAGAGCTAGTTCTGGATGTGGTCAAGATGGCCGGGGCAAACATAAAAAATGCAAACGTTTCTCTCATCTCAAAAAGGTGCATCTTCCCAATATTAAGATAGAAAAAATATATAAATATTGCAGTTTATATATAGCAAACTTACATTTGATGGGAATTTCACTCTGACTTAATGGATGATTCGTTGCTCTTCTGCAAAATAGAGATGAGCTTAACAATGCCACATCGGTTGCTTCTATATTATGCTGTAAGAGCTAAAAAGCACAGTAGATGCTTAGAGTGCTGTTTTAATTATTAATACCTACACTTCCTTTGTCTGGCAGTCCATTTTCAGATGTTGGTGTGGAAAGCGGAGAACTGACTAGTCTATCTGAGATCTTGTTTTCACCTTGATTGGAACAATGTCAGTTTTGGTGTCTAGTCAAAAACCACTCTTGGCAGGCAGAGTTTTCTTCCTAAAACCCCCTTCGTACAAACACAAGGAACATTGATAGAAATTCAAGAGAAACCCAATAATGTTCATATTTTCATCCATCCAGGGAATGTAACAATATAGGTAGCCCTTGACTTACAACCATAATTGAGCCCCAAATTTCTGTTGCTAAGAGAGACATTTGCTACGTGAGTTTTGTCCTATTTTAAGACCTTTCTTGCCACAGTTGTTAAGTGAATCACTGCAGTTGTTAAGTCAGCAACATGGCTGTTCAGTGAATCTAGCTTCCCCATGGGCTTTGCTGGTCAAAAGGTCACAAAATATGATCACATGACTCCGGGATGCTGCAGCATAAATATGTAAATATGAGTCAGTTGACAGGCATCTGAATTTTGATTATGTGACCAGGGGGATGCTGCAGCAATGGTCATAAATGTGAAAACATTTTCACATTCCATTGTAACTTTGAATGGTCACTAACTGAACTGTTGTAAGCTGAGGACTGCCTGTAATAGGATATAACTCCAGCCCCATTGATACAAAAGATATAAGATGAGATCCCAGGTTAATACCAAACAAATGATTTTGCTTACACTTTTAAATTTCAAAGTAGTCCAAATTTGATCAAAGAAGTTAGCCCTGAAAGAGAGGAACCTGAACCTATGTCGTTCTTATTCCAATTCCTATCACACAACTACACAGGAAGAGAGAAAATACGGGCATTCTGGATTCCCCCCCCCCTGCTCAAAAGTCTGTAGTTCTAATGAGAATTTGATAAAAGACAAAAATTGGACAAATAGTGTAAGACACATTTTAACAAGGCCCGTCCCCCATCATTTTTCTTTGGTTGCTATACTGGTTAAAACCAAAACTGTTTTTAGGCTTAAAACAAAAGACAGGCAAAGTTGTCTGCACCGTCCCAGGTCAGTAAAGGCATAAATGGACTTAACTCGGGTATATGAAACAAGATGGTTTCAACCAGAGACCACTGCTGTGCACTTATATGGTCATATCAGCAAGAGACGCCCAATGGTGCTGCTCTCTGATCCCTTCGGAGTGAATTTATTTATTGTGCCTTGCGCAATAAGAGCAGCACCATTCTGCAACGGACTGTACCAGCACAGGAGATAGCGGTATACACTTGACATTGCTAAATATTTGGAAACACATCAGAAACAAACAATAAAAAAAACCCATCAAAATTGACACTTCATGAAGAAAACTAGGCTTTGCCACCTTTCCAAGAGCAGAGAATTAACAATGAGGCATTAAAAAGTACAATTTCTCTTTTACCTCTAGAGTTACCCACTTTAAGGGAGGCAGAGTATGTGATATTTCTGAGCTACTTACTAACAGTCAGGCTAAATTAGGAATTGGCAGAATGCCTACAAGTACCAGCACATCTATCACTGCTACCCAAAATGGTGCATACAAAATCCTCAAATTATTATTTTTTTAAAATTAAAAATGGCCTGGTTTTCACACATTTTCATGCATTTTTAGCCTTGTTATCTCCTGAGATCCTTGGATGAATTTGCCAACATCTCAAGAAGTGAGATGAGATTTGGGTGAGGGAGGAGATGGATGGGTTTTACATTTATGAGGTTGTTTTTGACCCCCCCCCCAGATCCTTCTGCTGGATTGAATAATAATATTCAGGAATGGAAAGTATAGCTGATTGATTGACCTAAATCAATCCTCAGCTTTAGCAATTTTAGTTACTAGCAAAAGACCTTCCATACTGGCAGAAGGACACATTATTCAAAACCTTATTCATTGAAAAAGAGCCCCATCCTTTATGACATACGTGCATAAGATAAAAATATTAGCAATAGACATTTGCTAACTTCTTTTGAAAGAAGAACTGGCCTTGGAGAACAGTGGTGCAGTTGAGTCATTTTTTATTCTGAACACTGCAGTTTAACTGGGGGAGGAGTGTAAGGGATAACATGCATCCTTTTACTTGGTTTACATTGTGGTGAACCACCCCCTCCCTACTGCATTTGTGAACCCACAATTCTGCTAAGTGGCATCCCTGACTTGAGATTGCAGCTACAATTTAATGAAGAGCAAGCAGTACAATGCCCTCTCAATACCAAGGTGGGTTTCTCCCCCTTTTTTTCCTTGTCTGGAAAAACACCCCTATAAAACCCACTGAAGATTAGCCTTTCACATAGATTGTATATGGGTAGGGTTGCAGTCCTGTCTTTAGAAAGCCTATCAAGATGGTTATTCCATCTCCAATCATGCGGATAATTTGATGCATGCTACAATGGCTTAATTGACTGATTTCCCCAGCAGTGGCACAACATATATCCCTTTAGGCTCTGCTAGCAATTCTGAAAAGATCCCAAATGATCAAGCACTTCAAAAAGAAGCAGCGTCAAGACCTAGATCTTGTCTGTGCCATTTTCTTTCAAAGGTGACTTGTTTAGAGGCCAAGATCCATCTGTAGAAAAAAAAAGGGGGGGGGGCAATGCAAAGGAAAAGGGCTTCCAAAATCAATATTTCCTCCCTTCTTCATTATTCTATTTCTCCTATATGGAACTGTGAGGGTTGTGTATGAACAAGGACAGTCCTATCTTTAAAAGATGACTCAAACACTCTCATCTACAAAGGACTTCCAGAAAGCCTTACAAGGTTACAATATAAAAATTCAGAAAGCATTTTGGATTTCAAAGAAAAGACTACACAACCGAGTATATCGTGACACACATACATCGCTGTCTTTTGAGCCATCAACACATAGAAATGCAGCTGTCTTTTAATTTCTGGAAGATTAAAATGCGAAGTTAATGCTTACGGATAATCAACACACTAATTAGAATCCCTAAACCCTGATCTGCTTTGAAAACTCAGGCTCTGCATATTTTCTCACAATCTCCTTGTTCACACAACACCTTGATGTGTGTGTGCATGTGTTATATGAACCAAACTGTTTATGGTGTGTTCAGCAAATTGTTGAACACAATGTCACACAAACCATGCTTTAGTATATGAACCCTGTCAGAATTAAATGGGTCTTATTTCCAAATAAATATGCAGAGACTATGATTCTGTTTCTACTTTCATTAAGGGGTATAATACAGATTATAAACAAGGAACCAGGAGCAAGAACCTTGCCTTGGTTTGATAAAATAAGACTTCCTTATTAATTATAAACTGTAAGTGCAGATTTGATGATTCCGGTTACAAAAGCTATTGCTGCAAGTAGTATAGTTCCTAATGTAATAAATCCCTTTTAGATCACTCTGTTGGATGTGTCTAAAAAAAAAAAGATTAAAGTATCTATAAAAGACTCATAATATACTACTAATGGGGTTTTTCTTCTCTCACATCTCAAATCTGGACAGAGATGCCCCAAATTTTAAATATTCAAAATGCGCACAATGACATCAGGAGTGAGCAATAAAGATTTAAAGAAAGAGCTATTTAAGATGGCGCTATGCTGAGTTTCCTGCTATCATCTGCTTGGGAGGTGGCAGCGATGCTGTGCTGTGTAGCTGTCCTAGTGCACATACCACATCCTTCTGAGTGTGTATCCTTCAAGCCAGTAAATATTTGGGTTTTTTAAAGCCGAATTTCTCTCCTAGGCAGGTTCCTTCCTTATAGTTCTGTGTCAAGTACAGAAAAAAATGGGAAGCCTGCCTGAACTCCATCCAGAGTGCCTAAGCTGCAATCTTACACACAGCTACTTGGGAGTAAGCCCTGATGAGCCTCACCTATGGCTTTGCACAACAGCCAGTGGAAAACCTCAGCTCTGATGGTTGGGAGTGGGATCCTCTGTGCTGGATATGAACAGACAACACAAGCGTGCATGCACTTACGCACACATATACACACACACCCCTGGGTGGAGAGAAAAACGCCAGCCTTAGCATAACTGGGGTCCCAGTGCCTAGAAGGGCTGTGAAACAAGAACTGGGGAAAGTTGTGGAGGGAGAAAAAATAGGCCAGGCAGGCTGCAGAATGCTTTAGCATCCCTATTAAACCGGAGACCCAAATCCGAGATTTTGCCTTCCTCCCTCTCTGCTCCTCCTCCTCCTCCCGGCTCCTTCTTATACCCACCCGTCAGCGAATTCTATTTTCCTGCTGTCTCCCCCTCTCCTCCAGCCTTCTGTCCTTGAGAAGGCAAAAGGTCTCCGAGGCAGATGGCGAAGACCGCGGGGGTGGGGGGGGGAGTGGGGTGGGGAGAAGTGGGATGTCGGCTCCTCCCCCTTCCTGCAGAAAGTAGCCCAGGAGATGGGCACAGCGGGGGAGGGCGAGGGACAGCGACAGCGGCAGCAGCAGCAGCAGCCCTAGTTCCTGGCCTCGCGTGGTAAAAACAGGGTGCTCCGGCGCAGGGTCTAGGCAAAGCAGAAAGAAGCTAGTAGGTTTTACTCACACGATCCCAAGATGCTGCGTCTACGGGCCTTCCTTCTCTCTGTCAGAGGCTTTAGGGGAAAAGGGGTTTCTGCTTTCTCTCCTTGTCTTCAGCATGCCCGAGGACCTTGTATCAGGCGAGAGACTGCATCGATTATTTTGCTAAGAGGCAAACGTCCTCATCACTTCATCTTCCGCGATTGCGGATCTTAATTAATTCCATCCATTTCCATCAGACGGGGTGGGGTGGGGGGGAACACACGGCGTTGCGATTCAGCAAAGCACCACGAACGAAAAGAACTCTCCGTGGTCCTGAAACTCTCCCGAGTCTCTCAACCTCTCGGCACGAGCGCTCCCTCCACAGAGAGGACAATCTTGTCTCCCATATGTATTTGACTACAGCTTCCATCATCTATACAGCCTGGTCTAGTATTTGTAGATTATTGACATCTTAAGAGAAATGCATATGAAAGGCTAAAAGCCGAACTAGGGAAAGGTGCCAGGATGTTAGGGATTGTGCTTGTAACATGCTGAACCCAATCAGTCATTAGCACAAAATGCTAAAGTTAGTCACTTTAGCTTAAGCTGTGACGTAAACCAAGACCATTTGCTTATTGTGGTGCTCCACTGTGATGGGCAAATTTTAACCAGGTTAACGTTGTGGCATAAACAGAGCATAAACAGAGCGAGGGTAAAAATAGACCTATCTGGAAAGATTTGGGTAAAGACTTTTTTTTCTGAACCCAATTAATAAGATGCACTTCTCCTACTCTTCAGATCTTGGAACGTATAAAAGGAAAGGGGCAATTCTAGCTTCTCATTTTATTTGGTATATTTATTTTCAGATGCGGAATTTGAATTTTAGACACTAGATAAAGAATTTTTCTCTCTCTCTTTTAAAGTTCCTCTCACCAAAGGGAAATATTAAGGGAGAAACTCACTCCCTTCCCTTCCTTCAGCTCCTCGCCAACCTTGCGCAAAATATGAAATGCAGGTTCAGTTACATAGAAGGCCCACAAAACGGTGCCTTCCATGTGAATTGGACCTGACTTTGAATGGACCCAGTCTAATCGTTCTGATCAAATCATTTTGAGAACGGAAGTTGGGAAAGGCTGATACAGGATAAACGGGGGGGGGCAGCCACTGCAGCATTTGCCATGCCCCCTCTTTGCGCTTCCCCTCCCTTCCCCTCCCTTCCCCCTTCCAATAGGATCCACAAAGCCACTACTCACTTCTCCACCTTCCCCCTTTTAAAGATGCGCAGGACAATACGCATACGAGCCGCATATACACACTCACACACAATGGTCACATTTGCCAGGGCTGCCCGGACTTCACACTCTTCACTGCTGGATTTACTCAACTACCCCTCACCTGCCAACTCTAGCAAAAGGGGTCTGACAGGCCAGGCAGCTAATTTCACCTCCTCTCCCCCCTCCCTTTCTTCAGAATCTCTTAGCACCACAGTATAAAGCTGTTGAATCATCTTGATCTCCACCGGCACCATTTTATACACACACACACACACACACACACACACACACACACACATTTAGGTAAGACCCACAGCTTCCAAATCAGGGGTTGAAACAGCATTTATTGCACACGCTCGTTCGCTCACACGCACGCACGCTCACACGCCCCCCCCTCTCTCTCTCTCACACACACACGTAGCTAACGGTCCAAAAATTAAAGCCAAGTAAACCAGGAATGCTAATATCCCCTCGTACCCTTACCAGCCAGGATGTTTACCTTTAAAAAGAACAAAAAACAAGCGAGCAAATCTGTCTTTGATCATCCGTGTCCCGGGCTGGATGCAGCCGAGGAAGAAATTGATCCGCGGCCGCCCAACCTCTTCCTTCCGTGGCTCTGGACCGCACCGCACCTTTCGAGGACCCGAGCGAGGGGAGGCTGGACGTGGCTTCTCTCTTGGCATTCACCGCGTGCCTTAATTGTATCGAAATTAAATCAAGGTCCGCTGTGAACACGAAGGGCTTAAGCCAAACGGGGGGGGGGGGAGAAGAAAAGGCGCGGGAAGGTGGAAGGGACGGAGGGCGGAGGAAAAAGAGCGGAACAAGAAGGATCCAAGCTGGTGCGCCAAGCCAGGCCGGGGTGGGCTTCTCCGCCTCTCTGGTCTCGATGAGGAGTTGCTGGGGGGAGGGGGGAGTTGCTTCGGCTCGCTCGCTCCCTTCCTTTCTCCCCTTCTAGCCGCTGGGTTGCACCCTCGCTTCTGCCGCAGGCTTCGCGGAAAACGGGGTGCGGAGAGTACCCGCTGGGGGTGGCAGGGACCTCAGGAAGCTGTCTTCTCTCCCTCCAAAGCTGTTGCTGCTGCTGCCGCCGCCGCTGCGGTCCCCCCTCCCCTTCTTAATTGTCCGCTTCTCTCCCGGTCTTCGCAATTCTGCTTTCAGTCCCCCCCCCTCCCTTTTTTCCTTTTTCCGCACGCGGAGAGGGTTCTCCCGCCTCAGCTGCCGAAATTGAGGCGAATGGCTGACCCGCTGCTTCGTCCTCCGCGCCGCTTCTTCTCCTTTCTCCTCTCCAGTTTGTTTCTACTGTAGGGCTTGAATTCAAGTATCCTGGGGGGGGGGAGAGGAAGCTGGAGGGGGGAGGCTCTTCTCTCGGCTTTTGCTTGTCCTCAGGCGCTCTCCCCCGACTCAGCTTTCTGGTCGTCGAAACCACGGATTTTTTTTCTGGGGCTTGGTTTGAGCAATTGAGCAAGCTCGGAAGCAGGGCGCTTCTCTTTCTTTCTTTCTTTCTTTCTTTCTTTCTTTCTTTCTTTCTTTCTTTCTTTCTTTCTTTCTTTCTTTCTTTCTACCCATCAACATAAATAAACGACGGCGGATCGATGCGTAGCTATATGAGGGGCGAAATTACCCCTCTTCTTTGCTGGAGAGGAGGAGCAGTGTCTGGAAGGCGGCGGGATCTCTCTCTCTCTCTCTCTCTCTCTCTCTCTCTCTCTCTCTCTCTCTCTCTCTCTCTCTCTCTCTCTCTCTCTCTCTCTCTCTCTCTCTCTCTCCCCTTGACATCAACAAAACAAGATGCTTCCCTGGGTATCCTCATCCCCGGCATTCGCCCTCTTTCTGCACACCCCGCCGGCAGCATCTGCGGACTGTGCGCAAAATGCCTTGTGATGTGCAATTTACACTCTGCCTCCCTCCCTCCCCCCCCCGCTCCCCCTCCTCTTCCCCACCCCGAGAATCAACCCAAATGGTGCTGAAAGCAGGATTAAGGGAAGGGTCTCAGCTGCCTGAGATTACGGAGACCCGGGAGACCCGGCCCAGAAGAAAATGAGGGTGGGGGGGCATGGGGTGGGGATAGTGTTGTGGGTTGAGAACGGAAGGAAGCCTCCTCGGAAGACAGAGAAGAGGAAGGTAGAATAAGAGGGGTGGGGAGGGGGATCCAAGGTGGGGGAGGAAATGTGCTATTTTATTTGGGGGGAAGGTGGGAGGAGCCAATGTCCCAGAGGAGGTTGATTTCTCTTTATTTAATACCCCAGAAAATATCGAGGCGATTAATAAAGTTAGATCATCTCTGCAGAGCAGGCTTGAAGAATCCAGCGACTCTATATCGATTTACGATTTTTTAAAAAAATTATACAGCATGAAACGCGTTTTTCTCCTATGCATCAGAAGAGTCCTCCAGTCTTTTTCTGCTTTCTTTTTCTTTTTGCCCCTTTCTGTAGACGTTGCAGGAGGACGCGCGTTAACCGAGGGCAGTCCCACACCCAAAGGATTTGAATAGCACCTTTTCAGACGAATATACTTTATTAAAAGACTTTCCCATGCAAAAGACGGTAGCCCAGGTTTTCTGATTTTTCTGCCCCTATAGAATTCTACTCGTCAACCAACCCCCCCTTTTTTTAACAATGTATTTCTAGATTACTCGCACTCACACGTTTTCCGAGGGAGGCAGCGAGGTTGGCAACAATTTAGGTTCCTGTTGTTATCTTAGGAAAATGTCTTTCTTGCTCTTTTCCTCTGCGCGCGCGTGCTTCTTTTATATATCCAGGACGGTAGGTGTGTGGAGTGTACTGTAGTACCGTAGTCGGGGAAGATGTTGTGAACTCGAGGGAGGCATAGAAAAAAGGCCGGTATAGCTAAACGGGTCAGGATTATGGAGGCCAATGAGAGGAAGGAGGGAAACCCCGTTTGAAATAAAAAAACGACAAAGGAAAAGCCAGCGCAAAATAGTCCGCCGCCATCACGGTTAAGTTCCAAGTATTTAATCCCGAAACTCATTTTAGAGGAGGAAGGAGTTGAGTGCGTCTTATTCATACTTCCACCAGCATCCCCCAAAGACGTGCACTGGACGGGGGAAGGGGGTATTTAAACAGGGCGTGTAACTATTGGGAAACGCTGCCCAAGTGGCGCTGGCCGTCCAGGGTTCCGCTCCAGCTGGGCAACCTTCGCGCCCAACCTCCGCTCCAGGGAGCGACTTCTTCTCCCGCAAGACAAGCCCAGATCTAAGCGAGGTAGCCAGTCCCTGGGGGGGGGGGGAAGAGGGGCGAGGCCGAGGAAAGCCCGGGCCTTTAGCCGCAAATTGGGACCCAGCTGAGGAAGAATGTCCACGCTTTAATCTCCCCACGTTCGGCCATTTGAAACGAGAGGGAAGAAGGCGGAGGAGAAGAAGGAATCTGTTGAGAAAACAGCTCTGGAAAAGTCTTAGAAAGGCCGCTCGGAAGCATCTGGGCCCGAGGCTCGTTTACTCGGGAGTAAAGCCCCGCTGGTTCAGGGAAGCAGGCCCGAGGCTGCTGCGCTCCAACCGCGACGCAACCAGCCCCGCTCCCAGAAGGAATCCCAGAATGGAATCCAGGCGCCTCTCTGGAAATCCCTACGCCGACTTACTTCCGTGTAAACTGACTGAGGAATCCGAGGCACTTAAGACGAGCTTCGGGGAGCCGTCCGAGGGCTCTTTGGTCGGAATATGGGGAACGCCTCCTGAGGTCGGAACTGGAGGGAAAAGAAGAGAAATCGCAATCCAGAATAAAGACGCTCGTAGCGTAACGAAGACGGCCCCCATCATTGGGACCCCCCCCCGGCTCTCTCTTCAGAAAAGCCAGTTTTCTCTCCAAATAGGTGGCTAGTGCGCCAAAGGTGAAGGTGCAAAAGGGGTAGAAATGAGCAGGGAGGGTCTGGGGCTTCACAGAACACAAACTCACACGCCTCTTGATGAGAGAGAGAGAGACTAGATAGACAGACAGACAGACAGACAGACAGACAGACAGACAGACAGATAGATAGATAGATAGACAGACAAACAGACAGACAGACATGTTACACACACACACACACAAATGTATACACACACACAACCACCTTATATACTCTCCCCACAAAACAATATCTCTATACACACACTTATCTATATTGACACACGAAGTCCATGTGTATAAATATATACACACAAACGCCTATTTTGCCATCACACACACACACACACACGAAACATCTCTCTATCTGCACGCACGCACACACGCACCCAAACGCCTCTCTGTTTACATATACACAAGTAGACAACTCCAAAGTGAGCTTTCTGCTTTTTAAAAAAATTGAAGGGTGATATCTTTAAGGTCAGCCTCCGAGACCCTCCAACCGGGCCCCTTCGGCTTTTTTTTAAAAAAATAGGCCCTATAAATAACAAGACTGGACCCCCCCCGGACATTAATAATTATTCTGCACTTGCTGGGGGGGGGAACTCTTCGGCGGTGCCGTGGAAGGGAGAGTTTGGAACCCCAAATGCAACTGAGACGCGTTTCAAACGTGGAGATTCACTTTCGGAGAGGGATATTTGCGCGGGGAGGAAGCGATTCGCCCTGGTTTTTTTTCTCCCGGTCCCTGTGCCAGGCCAAGGGGTATCGCTCTCTATCTTTTTTTGCTCTGGGTAGTGGGGGGGGGGGTAAGGGGGAAAGAAAACAAGGGGGAGAACGCCCAATGTAGGCTTGTCTGCGGAGGGGGGGGGAATCCAGTCCACTTTAAAGATGAGGGCAGCTGACCGGCATTTCGAATGGATGTTTGAAAAGCAGAAACGTTTTTTTCTTTCCTTCCTTAAAACACAAACTAACCCAAAACACAACTACAACAGCTCGGGCACGGGGGCGATGCTCAGGTGCAAGCAGGGAGGGGGGAGAAATCCACACACACCCCCCTTCATATTTTCTCGCCTCCCGCTTGTGCTATATATCAACCCCACCCCCGGGAAATGTGACTTTGATGGCTTCCCATAAATATTCATAGAGGCGCTGCTTTACTCTATAGGAAAAAAAAAATTAACCCTTTGGGCGAAGGAAATCTCCCCTCGCCCGCCGCTTTATCGGGAGGCTGCAGGTGCCTTGTTCGGTTTTTCAGGCCCACCCCACTCCCTCCTCCCCCCATTGCCAGAGGCTTGCCAAGGTGGGGCAAAGTTTTCTACCTACTGTATATACACATTCAATGAATAATCGCACCTGGGAATGATGGGGGCTCCGCTTTGCCCCGCCCGCCACTTGCGGTCTGGTTAAGGAGGGGGAGGGGGAATCTGGGAATCAACAGGATCTAGGAAATAGAAAATTCCGAGCAGCGTTTTAGGATTTCTTCCAGCGACCGGCCCAAACCCAGGACCGGTTCTGTCCCGGGTGGGTGGGGGGCGGCCAAAGGAGCAGAATCGGATACTAGCGGGGAAGAAGGACGGAAAACGAAATGAAGCCAAGCAAGCTAACGCGTGTATTTATAAGGCGAGGGTTACGTGTAATTGACTGGATTCACATACCCACTCGCAGGTCAGCTAGAAACCCTGCAGCTGCCTCTGCCGATAATGCAGAGGTCGATTCCTATTAACCGTGGTTTGTTTGAGAGGGCGCGAATGGCTATCTTAACACGTTTTATCCGCTCAAGTCGTTTGGGTTCATTGTCCCGGGTGAACGTGGAAAATGGGTTAACTCGGCAGCAGGGTTAAAGCATGTCGTGGGAACCCGGTCACTGTGCCCGAGGGGGTGGAATTAGAAGAGAAAGGGAGAAGCGAAGGTGGGGATTCTTGATGGCTGCATTAGCCCATTTCAATAAAAACTCGACGTCTCTGAGATTTTACTTTAAAACGGGAAGTTTGAAACCAGAGCATAGAATTCAAATTCAACCCTCAAGTCGGAGGACTGCAGCCCGTTGAAATCAATGAGAGTGATGACTTAGTAGAGAAGTCCCATTGATGCCAACTGGTCAGCCTGAAGCAACCGCTCAGCCGGGACACCGCCGAAATTTAAAAACAAAACAAAAACAAAACTGATTCAGTAATCTTGAATTAGAAGACACCTCCCTTCGTTTTGGCTTTTCCTTTCGGTTTTGTGTGCAAGCAGAATTATTATTATTATTATTATTATTATTATTATTATTATTATTATTATTATTATTATTACTACTACTACTATTATGGATCAACGCACAGTCAGCCAGATGTTCAGACTGGATTTGGCATTTTGTCTATCTATGGAGTCCTTACCCAGGACCTGGGATAGGCAGATGTGGATGTTTGATGGTATTACAGGTATCGTAGCAGGATGGAAGCAGTTCCTAGTAAGGCCGCCTTTTGCAATTGACTAATAGCGAATTTGTCAATGCCAATGGTGTTCAAATGGTGCTCCAGTTGTTTTGGGATTGCACCCAAGGAGCCTATCACTATTGGGACTAACCTTGCTTGCTTTTGCCACAGTCTTTCTATTTCTATTTGTAGGTCTTTGTATTTTGTTATCTTCTCCAGTTCTTTCTCGTCTCTTCTGCTGTCTCCAGGCACTGCCACCTCCACTATCCAGACTTTTTTGTCTTTCTTATCGACAATTGTTAAGTCTGGGGTGTTATGTTGCAGGTGCTTGTCTGTCTGAATTCTGAAGTCCCATAGCAGTTTAATTTTATCATTTTCTATGACTTTCTTTATTTTATGATCCCACCAGTTTTTGTTTACAGGCAAATGATATTTTTTGCAGATCTTCTAATGC